AGGTGGAGCACATTGCTACCATTTTCAACACCCAGCTTCCGAGGTTACTCTGGTCACAGCATTCTATCCAGCAGAAAGGAAGAAATGCCAGGATTTCCAGTTACACAAATGATTCAGAAGTGCTAAACTTCACTTTTGCTAATGTTTCTTGGCAAGAATTTCATTACATACCACACTGCACTAAGAGAGGCCGAGGAATGTATTCTGGTCAGTTGCCCAAGAAGGAGGGAAGAATGGTTTTGGTGCACTGCTGGCACTCTCCATCATACCAACTGTCACGTTGTTGATTTATTGGTTTCTGCTGTCTGCTACATCACTTTGGCTTTAATTTCATCATGTGTTTATGGCATTATTCAGTTTAATGAATATCCAGCATTTTTATCACACAATCATGTTCACTTGGCTCTGTGACTAAAAGACTTTTACATGGATAGCTTGGCCACATAGCTCAGTTCCTGAGAGCATCTTCCTGATATCCTGAGGTTGCTGGTTTGATCCCTAGTCAGGATATGTGCAAAAAATCAACCTATGAGTGCAAAAGAAAGTGAAACTACATGGTTCTCCAACTGGAACTGACTTAAACAAGCAATAAGTCCTAGCATTTCAAAGTAAAAAATTAAAAATACAACATGAAATTTCTTAAAAATGGAAAAGTGAGTTTCCCAAGGTAAATCAACTGGTAATTTTTTGGAGCTGTGAGCAATTTCTATATTCCTCTTCTTCCCCCAACATATCAGTGTAGGGTAGGATGTAAAAATTGTCCAATGTGAATTCTGTTATGAGGTTCTAACTTAGCAACACTACTCATAAAATTAAGGTTATTTGATTAAAAATGCTTCCCAAGTCACTATTTTCATTTTAATGATTTGCATATCATTTTAAGTAATAAAAATATAAAATAAGATATTTAATCTATTTTGATAATATTTTATTACTTTTTACTAATAAATGGATTTAGCTCTTCTAATTATGATGAGAAGGGATTGAAGAAAGCTCTGTTGTAAAGCAAAAAGGAAAAAAATCAAGATTTAAATTTTGATTGTTTTATATAGTAAGGCATTAATCTTTGAGATTAGTTTTTCTTGTCTATCTTAATCTAAGTATACAAAATGAATTTGGGTTAATATTTCTTTGATCCTCAAAGTATTTATAAATAAATATCATTAAATTTAATTTTACTTCAATTTCATAGAGGAAAAAGAAACTGATGTAGAACTGAAAATATGAGTAAACTTTAGGTAATTATTTACTTTCTAACAAGAAACAGCATGGATGGAACTGTAGAGTATTATGCTAAATGAAATAAGCTCGGTGATGAAAGACAAATACCATATGATCTCACCTATAAGTGGAAACTAATCAACAAAACAAACAAACAAGCAAAATTAAGCCAGAGACATGGAAATAAAGAACAAACTGACACTGATCAGAGGGGAGTGGGGAGAGGTATACCAGGGGAAAGAAGGGGAAGGAGCAAGTCAAGGAACATGTATAAAGGATCCGTGGGCAAGAGCAATGGGGGTGGGGATTGACTGTGGGAGTGGGAGGTAGGGGGCAAAGGAGCACAATTGGGAAAAAAGTGGGATAACTATAATTGAACAACAATTTAAAAAAAGAAAAAAAGAAATGTTAATTCCCAAGATGCTCTAGAGTTTTTAAAAAATATGAAGCACATTAAAATCTTGTAGATCATTATGGCTTTGCTTCTTCATTACATATGACCTCATTATCTAAGGTTTCTGGATTTGACATTTTGGCCTCATTTTCCCTTTTACTGCGTTACTCTTGAATAGTGGCCATGAGTCTTCCTCTTCCCCTTCCTTTTCTGAACAATTCATTCCTAAAGTTTTCAGGTGGAGCAAAGCAAGGGAGGCAACTGTGGTATCCTGTGGAAAGTGACATAGTAGCCCAGAGTGGGGGGTGTCACAGCCCAAGGGGGTAAGAAGGAAGTCTCCCTGGGGAAACTGTCTAGAATGGGGAGTCAGGCCCCAAGCAGAGCGGAGCAGGGGTCCCCACAGAGAGCAGCCTGATGGAGGAAGTCAGAACCTGATCAGGGAGAGTGAGTGTCCATAAAGCCAGGCAGATACTCAAGGGCTATCTGGGCCCAAATGGGGTGGGAAGAGGGTGCACACATGGAGCTGGTGGAAGAGGTGTCAGAAGCAAGCAAGTGGAGGAGGTCATCCCCAAGGGGAATGGCACAGTGTAAGCTTGCAGCACTCAGAGTCAGAAGGATGCCCATGGGGCCATGGGGGCTAGCCAGGTCAGGAGTGCCAGAGCCTGATCAGGGTGAGGAGGCCATCCTCTCAGAGTCTGGACACTGCCTCGGAATAGAGGTTGTTGGCCTGAGCAGAGAGAAGAGGGTACCGACGTCGGGTAGGGGGTGGTGGCAGAGATGAGAGACTGATAACATACACAGGGAGATCAAAAACTAAATAGACAAGGGATAATGGAAACCAAATTTCCCACAGATGTGGAAGGGAGTTACAAATACAAAAAAGGACAAAACTAGAGTTCAGCGCTGTGGTGTTAAATTGGAATTGGGATGTTGGGATGTATCAGTGTGAACTCACAGTTTTTATATGTGTAGATGGGTGTAGAAATAAATATAGGTGTAAAGATGAATGTTTGTGTGTATGTCCATGCACATAATCCCTAGCTCTGTCCGTGGGAAGAGCCTGGGAATAGTGCCACTCCAACAGCAATGAGCATATCTTGGCTTATGATGACTGTTTTCCTCTAAAGGAACTGGGGAACTCAGGATAAATGGCTGATTGAGTAAATCAGGGATTGGGCAGAAAAACCACAAGATGAGACTGGAAAATCTTTTTATGCCTCCAAAGCAAGGAAGTATTCAAATAATGATGGGACATGTCAGAAGGACATAGAAGCCAGCCTGAATAGATTTCCAGTGGACAAACAGGAGACAATTTAGGCATTGAAATAAATGACAGTAATAGATTAGAATTCACCAAATAAAATTAAAAATCACAAGTCCACCAAATAAAATAAAAAATCATGAGTCTGTGTAGGTATAAGTAAATGAGTAAATTAAAAATATGATGTATAATGTGATATTAACATCCTATCACAAAATACTTATTACAAAGAAAACAACAGTGACTTTAAAGTGGGGCCACCTGGGAGACACTGCTTTAATCAAGTGATCAAAGTGAACATCATCAGCAATGCAACAGAGGGACGCCGTGAGTACACAGTACCACTACTATGTCATTCCTGACAGAGATGCAAAACCTGAATCTAATCATGAGGAAACAATAAAGAAATCCAAACGGAGGGATAATCTACAAGATAACTTGCCTGCGTTCCTCAAAAGTGCCAGGTCGTGAAACCAAGAAAAGACAAAGGACCTTCCAAGGACACATGACAACTAAATGCAACAAGTGGTTCTACACTAGATCCTTTTGCTGGAAAGGACACTATTGAGACAACTAGAGAAACCTGGGTCTGAGGATTGAGTGGTAGTAATGCACCAATGTCACTTCCTGATTCATGGTTGTAGTTTAATGTTGGAGAATGACCTTGTTCATAGAAGATACACACTGAGGTATTCAAGGGTGATGAAACATCACGTTGTCAGCACTCTTAAATGATTTAGGGGAGAAAAGTTATTTGTAATATAATTCCAATTTTTCTGTAAGTTTCTTTCAAAATTATATGATGATAATGAGAGCTAGCCAAAATCTCCAACTTAATGACAGTAACTACTATATACTCCATACAGTTGAAAAGGTTTCTAGCAATAAGGTTAAGCCTGCTACAGAATTTTAAAAGATAATCTTATCACATTTTGATAAGTATACCACTCAGAGAAAGAAATTGGTTTACTATTTTTCTCTGCAAACACATCATTTGCAGAATTTCAATGCTCTTTTCAGGGGTAGTTGTCTTTCTGAGGGGTCAGAGGTAGAAGAAATATATACTGGAACCATGAACTGCTTTAGCATGCCCAGAGGGTCTTCCTTTTGTCAATAACCTTATTTTCATTCTAATATTTTTAAAATTGTATTTTACTATAACAAGATAATTATTAATGGACATGAATTTCCAGATAGCAAAACACAGTCAACCATTTTGTGAAAAGCAGGAGATAGTTCTCTGGATAATTAAACAAGAAAGCAAGATTTAATTTCACAAAAAGTCCAAAGTTTAAAACCAAAAAGAAAGACTAGTCTGAAAGTAAAATATAAAATGACAACACACAGTTGGGAATACAGGGCAGCCTGGTAAAATGACTATGGTTATAAATCTTATAAAAGACCAATTATAAATCTTGGGAGATTCTTCATGAATTCTGAATATGGATCAGTCTGCTGCTTCCTCTTCAAATACCTGAGTATTGGAGACCCACTCTGGTGCCAGGCCTTTTAAAGGGATCGGTGGTCAGGCAGCTTTAGGAAATCGACATCTATGACTGAGGATCCTCTTCCACACTCTTGGAATGTCCGTGCTCCCCCATCTTATGTGGCACCTGCTAATTTCTTTTGGGACTGCAAGTCTGGGGGAAGACCTAAATTTCACAGTGACGTCAATTTGTGAAATGCTCGATGAGACCACTGCCAAGAAGTGCTTGCTCACCCTCCTTTAACGGTAGGGGAATCTCCCTTTCCTGTTCTGGGTGAAGGTGAAGAACACTCATCAACAAAGCCCAATCCTTCTCACCAACTTCAGCCCACACCTCCCAGCAACTGAACTTGAAAAACACCTGGTTAAAACCACTTCCTATATGAGACTAGAGAAGAGACTGCCAGACACGATTTCCTGGCTGAACAAATCAGCCTAACACTTATAAAGAGCAACTCCTGACTGTCATAGAGACTGGATGGACCAGCAGGGATGACAACCCTAATGGACTGATCCCTTTGTCTCCCATCTTCCCAGCACAATGCTAACAAGAGGCTGACAGGACACCCAAAATTGTGCACAGAAAGGTCTTCTCTTCACTGTCACTAAGTAGGAAGTCTATTCCAGGTGCCGGGAAGATGGACCGAAGCTTGCTGATGTGGAGGTTCTTCACATTCATCATGGTAACTGACTGCGTGATAGGTAAGGGGTCCTGGGTGCCCTCAGGAGCTTGGAAAGGCTAATAGATGTTATATCTCCTCAACACAGAATCACAGAGGGCACTTAAGTAGAAGGTGCAGAAAAGGGGTTTGAATCTTGGATTCTGGGGCCCCATTTCATGCCTCAGTTATCCCTGATCTATGTAAGAGCTAGGAATGGTGGATTCTCCAGTCACTCAAAGTCTTGGGCACTTAATTTGGGGTTGAATCAAGTGGCCTGATATTTGAAAAGAAATTTCCTTTAATTTCTCAATGGGTTTAGTTTCCTGCTGTGCTTACCAGCTGTTAGGATAATACTAAAAATCTGCTAGAAATCTCTCTAAAACCACATAAATGTGCCTGAGATGTCAGTAACTTCTATATGAAATACTGGGATAATTCAAGATCTCTAAATAGTTTAGTTTCAAGGATGTATACTTTGTTTTTTTACTGCTCAGAAAATCATACCTAGGAAGTCCCTTATATGTGCAACTTTACAGAAACTTTGGAAATATAAGAATGTTCATTTTCAGAACACTACTTTTTCTCATGTTCCTGGGTATGTGTATGCATGTATTATATGTATGTGTATATGATATTTTTATATGTGCAAATTTTGTATTTCATTCATCCTTCAAATGTGTTTTGTCAAATTTGTTTTTTTTTTTTTAAAGAAATAACCACTAACTTTTACCTCAAACCACCCTTCCTAATTGAGGGTGAATTGTCTAATGACTCCTTCTCTTGCTAACCCAGGGAGACAGATAAGGTAGCAGAATCTATAATTTCATATCCTTATTTTCTAGGTATACAAAGGTGGGCAAAAGTAGGCTTACAGTTGTTGGTATGGAAAATGATACAATAATTAATAACTAACAATATAAGAATCAACTCTGTGTTTTGCATACTCACAACTATAAAACTACTTTTGCCCACCTCTATATAATAATTCAGACTGGCCGCAGAAAGATGTGTTAAGAAGTGAAACACGGGGATGCATATAGAATCCTTTTGCTTGTTTGGGGGAAGTGGCAAAGTCATGCTGAGCTGTGAACTGTCGCAGGTGTAAGTACTTCTTCACTTTGGAGCTAAAATGGGCATTGTTTTAGGAATGCTTCTAATGTAATTTCTGTCTTAGCAGGGTCTTTGCAAATTGGGAGGTCAGTCCAAGCCAGAACAGAGAAGCCTTTACAATTTTTCATGCCCTATTCCTGGGAAACACATTTCAAGTAAACGTGTGTTATTGCTAGCATGTTGTTTATCTGAGGATACGAATGGCCTTGGTGGCGGTGGAGCAATTGGAAGTATTTTGAGGACTCTTTCATTTACTCAGTCCTCCAAAACTTTATTCAATACCTTTTATCCCCCTTTTCAGCACTTTGGAAAATATAGAAATAAACAAGACAGTCTCTATCCTTAAGAGATTTGTAACCTAGTAAAAGGGAGAAAGGCATAGATATAAAAACAGTCATACAGTAATAAAGTCAGAATATGGAAATCTAATGGGAGCATAAAGCTCTCAGAGGAGGCTTCATGAAGGTGGCATGCAAGAAGAGCCCAGATGGACTAGTAAATTTCCATAAGTAGAGATTCCAGACAGAGAGGACCACATGAGCAGAGATAGCAGAGCGTTAGGAAACCGCACATGGTCTGCTGTGGCCCTGAGCATGGGACAGTGATGTGAGAGTTTTGGGAATTAAGACTGGAAAGGAAGGATGGGCTCAAATGAATGATCCAAGGCCTGGGATTACAAGGCAATAATTTAACTTCATCTAGTACTCAATAAAAGACTGCTAGAAAATAAAAATTATCATTTATAGCATGCCTTCTTCATGCCAGATATATGCCTTATTTTAGTCTTCATTATGACTTTGCAATATGGATTTCACAAACCCACTAGATGAAGAACATAAAACTCAGAAGTTACACAGGCAGTGACAGAGCCGAGGCTCAAACCCAGGTCTCTGTTTCTTGTGCTCTTTCTGTTCTGTTCACTCCAGACAGGGTCAGAGCTCTATGGAAAGGACCCTGGCAAAGAGTGGATGGGCATTAGTTATACAGAGGGAGTTCATGAGGTTCCTGAAATAGTCCAATCCAGAGACAAGTGAGGACTTGGTGGTTAAAGAAAGTGAAATGGGTTGGGTAACAGATAATTTCATCACAGATTTTATTCTCCAAAAACTCAGTCCTAAACAAGTCTTTATTCCTCAGGGGAGAGAACTCTAACAAAATCAAACAGATTGTCAACAGATTCAATTTCTAGCTGATTCATAAGGCAGGTTTTCATTCTGAAAGTTTCCAAAGCCACCATTTAAAATTATGATGGGTTACAGGGGATGTATTAATAAACCTGGGTGTTGTTAGTCTCTATATTACTGGGTCCTGGGATGTGGTTAAAAGAGAATTCTCCTGATATTACCAACACAGCATGTTATTGAAGGCATTGTTCACAGAATTGTGGAAATTCTGAGGGTTTATCTATGCCTTGATTATCTTTCTTTCATTCTAGGAATTCTGTAATCAAATCTTCACCCCTTAGACTCAAAAATATAAAACAAACAAAAAAAGAACCTAAAAAAAGGTGCGGAAACACATTAAGATGATATTTCTAATTATCCCTTCTTGTAAAGACTACTGCCCACACTGGAATTTCCCATCTTCACATTTGTCATTAAAACACAAAATGTTTAATTCTTCACAGTTAATCATTCAATTTCTCTAGATCCTAAAATGTTATTACCACTGTTACATTGCTCACCTTCAAGATATACTGTGGTGCCCTGGCCAGGTGGCTCGGTTGCCTGGAGCATTGTCCCATACACCAAAAGTTTGTGGGTTTGATCCCCAGTCAGGGCACATACCTAGGTTGCAGGTTCCATCCCCAGTCGGGCATGTAGGAAGGCAACTGATCAATGTTTCTCTCTCTCATTGATCTCTCTCTCTCTCTCTCTCAAATCATTAAGCATATACTCTGGTGAGGATTTTAAAAAAAAGATGTATTTTGGTGGGCCCTAGTGAGGCAGTTCAGTTGGTTAGGTTGTTATCCCGATATGCCAAGGTTGAGGGTTTGATTCCTGGTCAGGGCACATAGAAGAATCAGGCAATAAATGTATAAATAAGTGGGCAAATATCTCTCCCCTCCCCCCCATTCCTTCTCTCTCCTCCTGCCTCCCACATCACTCAATAAAAAAGACCAAAAAAAAAAAAAAGATATACCTTTGTGAGACAGGATTCTGGTAAGCATAGAGAATATCTCATAAAGCAGTTGCTACCTTCTTTAAAATTAAAATAGTGTGTCTTAAATAGACAGTGCTGTATATCAGCTGTACATATGATCCATTTTAGATTTGAGAAAGCTTAGGAACAAAAGAATTAACTTTGCTTCGCTGTCAGACAGTCAGAGATGCTAGTAAAGAACAGTGGATGAGCTGAACAACCCCACCACATGACCCCACTCTTCTCAAATAGAAGTATTTTTATTTTTTTTGGCTGAATCCTTGAGTATAGTGGATACCTCTGCGTAATTTCTTGTTGAAGTCATTCTTATAATAGCTCTAGAGAGCGCCCTTCAAGTCAGGCTATCTCTCAGCACAGCAGCCCTTCGAGTTAATTTCCCTGCTCCTCTCATTGCCCAATGATAAATAGAAACCTTAAAAATAAACAGAATTCCTTTAGGCAGTGAGATATGTCACCTGAGGTCAGTGGAGAGAAGAATTAGAGGGAAACTGAACTTTGTGGGGAGCTGATAGCGGGCCAAAGCACCTCCTTACAAGCATTGTTGGAGAACTAAAGAAAAGACACATGAAGATTGTGACTTTTTTACAAATTTCTATACGTCCCTGGTCTTCAGTTTCTCTCTGTACAATGAGGTTTATAGAGATGATTTTGAGGCCCCCTTCCAGTTTATGTCAGGAATTCTGAGAAGGAAAAGAAAAGAAAAAAAAAAAAAAGCTCAGCTTAAAAGGCATTTTCAAGCTGGGGTACTTTTGGATGAAAAAATTTCTCAAACTTAAGACATACAACACAGGGTCTGCCTTAAGAGACCTTTGAGTATCAAAGTACCCAAAGTAACATCTCATTGTAGGTTATTTCCAACTCTCTCAACTGCACTCAAGCGGGACGCAGTGCTTCGGTCATTCTTGCAGCTCTCAGTGTCAAGGCAAAGACACCGCTAGTGTCAGTGAGGCCTTCTGCAGTTTCTTTGCTGGTTTAAGGAATTTTTGCCTGAAATCATTTCCTTATTTCTCACAGGACAGGTCTCACACGAGTGGGAACCTGCTTCTCTTCTCTTTATCCCAGGCAATTCCCTGTGAGAAGAAGAAAGAGTATCTTCATTCAATTGATTGCTTCAAAGAGTTATAAGCACTTTACCCCTGAAAATGTTCAAATAGGGCCTGACAGGCCACTTCTGAGGGATGTCGTGGAGGGTGCACCTGCTGACCAGGGCGGCGGAGGGGGTGGCAGAAGGGGTGGCCACTCTGCGTTCCTTCCTGCCTATCTGTTCTAGTTCCCCTCTGCTGCCTTCCAACCTCTATTTTTTACTTCTACTCCTAGAAAATGAAATTAGGAATGTATGATTTTCATACTTTTCAAATCCAAAAGCATCCAGATCACATATAAGTGTGGGTTCTTGGTTCTAATCCACTGTCTGCTCCCCTCCCCGCCAAACGCTGGGTGGCGGTGACAAATAAAAAAGGAAGGAGAATTTGAGTGGGAAGGTGATTGAGGCTGGGCAAGGGAAAACCGCTAAAAAGGTAATATATGAACCATGGGTTTATCTGTACAGGGTGGGGCACAAAATAGCTTTACAGTTTTTCTTATGGAAAGCAATACAATAATTAATAAATAATAACACAAGAATAAGCTCTGTTTCACATACTTACAACGGCAAACTTAACTTTTGCCCCACCCTGTATTTGGTGAACCTCCAGCACCGAAATACTCAGAGTGAAAAGCTTCTCCACTCCTGCCCTCTCTGCAAAAGCATGGGCTCCCTTTCTCTGG